AATCTCTAGAGATTCAGCTTTTCAGCACCCCTTTGAACACTTTGTCTAGGCAAAGCCATAGCTGCTCCCACAAGGATCAGGTAACGAAAGAAAGGAAAGAGCAGATGAATTTGGAAAGGGAGGGGGAGGGGGAAGAGAGGGAGAAATGTATAAAGCAGCCTTGAAAGAAGGTGGGGGGGGGGAGAAAAAGTATACTCTCTCCTTGTTCTAAACCAACCTGGAGGAAGATGATAGAAATGGGAGAACTAGTGGCTACTGCATGCTTATAAACTCATTAAGCTACCCGGTGAGATCTAAATGCCAGGAGTCATTGCTGTATACAAGACAAACAGATTTAGGCTGGAAGGATGCCAGCTGTTCTAGCTAAGCCACCTTCTCTTTAACCTTGAATTGAAAAAGAAATTTTAAAAACTCACAGAGCAGAGGGATGTAACCTGGTGCTTCCCCAGATTTTGAACTTTGACTCCCCATCAGTTGTAGTTAAGGTACAGTGGGAGCTGTAACCCAAAACATCTAGAGGGCAGCAGGTATCATCTTCTTCATTTGTCTGTTCTGTACCCAATTATCCTCAGAACTCCACAAAGAATGGTGTGTGAGTCAAAATGCTTAGGTAAGTTGGACTGGAGTGGATAGGCAGTAAATCGGGGAAGATGTCTACTAAGGTTACATTGCCTAAGAGGAACATCTTAAGCAGTGTTACCTATGAAATGAAGGGTACAAGAAGTGCATCCTGTGAAGGCTAAACATTGCTTATTACCCTTGCCAAACTGTAAAATGCCAGGACACCCTGATTAACACAATAAAATTAACTGGCATACTTGGTTGCCAGGCTCTATTCCAAGCAGTAGAAGCCTTTTAAAATGTCTTTATTAAAAATGACATCCAAATCTCACCGATAGCTAAGACATTTAAATGAGAATCAATCCAAATGACGTGGAAGAGTGAGCAAACATTCAATTCTCCAGAACATTTCTTTAGGTATTATCTCCATGTTGAAAAGTTCTGGATGGATTTTAGATTTTTCTATCCTTATTGGCCATCACAAACTTTTCAATCAAAAGCTCTGGAATCACTGCAGTGGCTATTTAAAGTTTTTGCACTTACAACAAGTAATACAAACTTGGTCCTCACACACACAGACAAAAAAAGCTCATTTCTCACATAACTCTGTGGGCCAACAAATGAAGAGTCTGCCAAATATTAGAGAGACCAGGTGCAACTATTAAATCACCATAGTTTTGAGAAAAGTGGGAGAAGTCAAACAAAACAAAACAAAACATCATTGTAACTCCTAAGGCTTAAATTTGCCTTATGTCTAATGACACTCTGGATTTGCTAGCAATCCACTTATAAGAACGGTGGGAAGGAATGAAAAACTACCTGAAACAAATAGCTTCTCTGAAATAAAACAACCACTGTTGTATACACAAAGCTGACTTTTTCTAAACAAAACCCAAATGAGAATTGCTCTTAACTTTGCTTTGCATTCCGTCTCTGAACGAGAGAAAAAGTTTAGTTTTTCTTCTTCTTTTTTTTTAAAGGTACAGTCTTGGACTGCAGCCTAAATATGCTTCATATTGAAAGCAGACAAGGATTCCATTTCGCTCACTGATAACTGTGGGAAAATGCTTCAAAAAGCAAGCAAAGTTGGGCAAGCAGAGACTTGTGCCCCATCTTGCAATGAATGGCCAATTTCTTTTCTTTTACAGCACTCATATTTCATTATCACCCCATTACAGGCCTTTTTCCTGAGTCACAACTAACCATGAACAATCTAAAAGAGAGAGAGAGAGAGAGACTGAGGTACCTTGTTCATACCATTCCTTCTCCGCCCCCCTTCATCCCAGTGGAAACCCAAGATCCCAACATCAGAATGTAAATACACATTAAACTTCATGGGCAGGCGGTTCTACCTGTCAAGGCACCCTTCTTCCTTGGATTAATTGCAGCAACAGGCTATATCAGTGCACAGAGGCACACAACATGTTAGAGCAAGCTGGAAGCATACCACACAAAAAAACAAAGAGCCAATTATGGCCACTCATGCTACCTCTAGTTAAGAGGATGTTTTCAGTGCTGGCTTGCACAATCATTTCAGAAGATACCCTCCTCAAACAGTTCCTGCTCCCTTTCAGCATTGTTTGCCAGCATGTTTCACCCCAGGGAAAGCAAGGAGAGTATTCGCCACAAGGGCTACTGTTGCTATACTAACCACCACCACGTTTCAATGCTGCTCTAGCAAGTCTTGTTTGTTTGTTTGATTCGAGAGAGTCACTTTCTTGGTACTGTTCTATCCCTTGATTTTTCTTTGATCTGAGAGTGATAGCGGCCCTTTGCAATCCTATCGGGCAAAAGATCTTTAACTGCAGCCCAGATGGAAGAGTTTTGAATGGCAACTCAAGAGCTTGCATGTACTTGGTGAAAGCATGGGAAAATAATTCACCCGGCCTAGTGAGAGTTCTCATTTTTGGACAAATCTTTTACAATTAACACAGATGCCTGACCCCCATGCCCCACGTTTGCTTGGTCTGATCCGTTTTAGTTGTCAAGAGGGAAATCTCCAGCAGCACCCAACTGGAGATTTCTGCTTTAAAAGCCATGCACCACCAAGACATTCGAGAGTTAAGAGGTGTGCATCAATCCCCACTCTATAGATCAACAATTAAGATAGCCAAGGAATGCAGGCATACAGCACAGAGGCTTAATTTTTCCCATGCCATGTCTGACCTTTGCACATCTTTGAATAAATATACCAGTCAGACACAAGGAATTCCACATCTTGAACCTTATCCCATCAAGTCAAGGTACTAGGCAACAAGTAGGCAGGGAGCTGTGAGAGAAAGTCACACCCAGTTCCCTAGTGCAACTCTAACCTTGACCAGCCAGAGACAAAGAGGCCTCCATACAATTACAGGAAAAGAAAACCATGTATGCCTGACATTTAGGCTTGGGAATGGTGAGAAACCCGTGTGGTTTATCCAGAATCAAAACCAAAAAGCAAGCCCCCAAGATATGAACCTTCAGGAGGGAAGGAAGGGGCTCACACTACTGTTTAAAGGCTAGTTCTCATCAAGGAGTCACACCATGTCTGCACACTACCATTTCAGGCTACCGGTAGAGGGTGATGTGATGATTAAATTGCCCCACTAGACACTATCCTATAAATGCCAGGGAGAAGGCAAGGGAAAGACTCCTTTCTACAACTCCTTGTGTTGCAGCATATATTGGGAGAGCATGCAATCAAGCATGTCCATGTCCGAGACACAGTCAGAACCAGGCTTATTGTTGATCACGTTTATGCTGCTAATAAAGGAAGTAAAGCTTAATATGTGTAAAGGCCAGGTATCAAATCCCTTCTTGGTTCTCTTTGCTGAAGTGACTCTGCCCTTCCTGAGCAAACAATCTTTTACCCACTCTACAGTTTGCCAGCCACCCCAATGCAGCCCTTCCATACTGACACTCTTTCAGCAATCAAGAATGCTGTCCACGGCTATCTCTAGTAGGGACATACTAACAGAGGGGACCTGCAACCCTGGTCATTGCCTTAGAAACCCTGCTGTCAGGTCTTGAGAGCAAACAAAGTTGTTACAGAGAAGCTCCGGGTCCTAGTGACAATATGAGCACAATCACCTTTGCCACTATTTTCTTCCATTTTTTAAAAAAATTCTCCAGCCTGGAGATTTCCTAGCGGTTTCTTATCCAATATTCACCAGTACTGACAATGCTTAGCTTCTGATATCAGCCTCCAGCTGCACTGGGCTGTGACTCTGGATCAGCATGAATGTGCAATGTTAATACTTAGAAGTTGTAACCCAAAACTTCTAGAATGTACCCATTACCTACTTCTGATTTACAAATCTTCCTGGGCTTCTGCAGCGTATGACAGTTTGAGTGACAACAGTTTTGATATTTGTTTAAACTGGGGCAGGCCTTTTATGCGCTGGCATCCAATGAAAATGCATACTTGTTAGGTTCCCACGGCCATAAAACTGACCCCTACTTCTTCCCTCCTTAGTTAACTACACACTCCTAACCCAAGTGTATAACCTTAAGAATACAATCAGATTCCCTGGGGTGAGAAAAGCTTACATCAACGGATAAAAGAGGAGGGATTTTTTAAAAAACACCCCAATTCAGAAAAACCTTCCAAACAGGTGCCATTTATTCTCTTTTTCCCCAAAGAGAATTGTTTTGTTCCATTTTGGAAGAGGGGGGGGAGTGATAGTCATGATATAATCAGAAATAATTCAAAGGCACAAGAATGCCTGAGCATTTTAGGCACTTTAAAGTGTTTTAGGAGTGTTTTAGGATGTTCACAGGAAACATCTCCAATGCTGTCTCCTCCCTACCGCCTTTTATAACATGAAACCAAGCCTCCTCCTGAGCCAACTCATCTTAGAGAAATTACATCCCCCCCCCATTTCTAAATTTGGTACATGCCTCTGTGGCCCCGGCTGCATTCCACAAGCCTGGGAAAAGCAGGGACTTGAGTATGACTCTTGCCAACAGTGGTTGTCATTCCCACGCACCTCACCCTTGTTTTGCTTTCCCCCAAATGAGCCAGAATGCCTTACTGTACTTTGTAATACAGATTTTATCTGAAGGTCCCAGGTTCAAGTCTGGCCTCTGCTGGTTGATGCAGCAGAAATGTGAAGCCAATCTTGATATTCCAGCTCATGACAATATTTGCACCTCCGCCCACTCGGAGTGCCTTTTAAGTAGAAAAATGGGATGAACACATTTTATGCAATAAACCATATCACTTGTGCTGTCAAGACCTGGCTCTGCAATGTGTGTTTTTTTAAAAAAAATACCCTTAAACCCAGGCCTTGAGAGAACACTGGCCAATCTTTGCCTTCTCTCAATCTTAATAGGCAAGAATGCTTTCCTTTTATACTTAAAGGGGGTTTACATCTTGTACTCCAGAGTTGTTTTCTTCAACCTCTTTCTGCTGCTTTCCAAAGGGAGTTGGTAGAGGACTGAGGCTTTACAAGTTACTAACAGTGGGTACGAGAATAGGATGGCATGGTGTTGGAGAGAAACTCATTTGATTTCTTTGAACAAAAAAGTATAATGGGATTATTTTTCTTGTCCTAAGGTAGCAGTTCTCATGCCTTTTAAACCACATGTCCACCAGGGTGGGGCAAACTGCACACATGGTCAGCTCTGCTAACCCTAACCCTAACTCCCCCAGCCTTGAAAGAAACAGCAAGGCATAGCAACCATGTCTTGTGTCCCCCTCATTATGGATGCAAACGAGAAAAGGAGAAATGCTAACATGCCTGACAGCATCTAAGAGACAAAAAAGAAATTTACCCCTGCCAAGGCTTTTTGGTGAAGGAAAACTCCACAGTGGAACTGATGCCATTATTCCAGATTAATTTCCTTCCAGTGCCACTTGAAAGACTCACTGCTATCTGACAGGGTAGAGTAAAATAAAAACCACCCATGGTAGGTGCAAAATCCAGATCACCTGGCAACACTTTCCATATACATCTGGCCAGATGGCAGAAGCCAAATCAGTCCATGTAGTTTCCCGGGACCAAGGAGGAGCTCTGTGAGATGCTTCTTTTGTTCTCTGGGTATCTGCTGACAGGTCTTGTGAGCCATCCTTTCCAGAGTCAGGAAAGAGAAAGCAATTGGAGGAGTCTTCTTTTCTCCCCCCATCAACAGCCCTTTGGTAATTATTTGCATTATGAAGAAAAAAGTGGAAGATGTTCTTCTAGTATCTGCAAGGGTCTAAAGAGCCCTGGTGGTTTGTTAGTGGAGGGAAGAGCAATCTGGTTGCAGGACATGAATTAGATGGCTTGAGAAATTTTTGGCCAATACCATCAAGACAAAAGGCTTATATCAGGGGCAAGCGACCTTTATGGCCCTGAGGACCACCCAGGTCCATTTCCACAAGCACCTGAGAATTTGGGCACCTCCCTCTTTCCGCCACTCAACACACTCCCTTTCATCCAAATGGCTTTTGAAATACATATTCAGAGTTTTTCCACCAGCAGCGGAAAATCAGCACTCTGTTTATCGCCAGCAAGCTGATCAGGCTGATCAGTTGCCTGGCAAGGAAAGGAAGGAGGGAACTCCAATTTAACTGGCATTTTTTTCAGCCAAGGACCACACATGGCTTAGCTTTCTTTTCCCAGAGTAACCAAGCAAGCATGCCCAACAAGTCTCAAATCGAAGTACATTCGCTAGATGAGAGCAATTCTCACTTGGTTTCCCTACAACCATGGCCATTGCTCTTTAAAAAAAAAAAAGACATCCTGATTTTAATTTCAATTTTATGTTTTACTGAAAACCAGTCATCTATCTGGGATCTTTGTTTCAGAAAAGAAATGAACATATCTCTGAACATTGTGTGATTTTTAGTTCAAGATCAGCAAAATAATGCAAATACAGAAAGCTTGGAATTTGATAGCCTGCACAGCAAGACTGCCCTAGGCCGCAGCAAGCAGACGGAATATTTTGGAAAAAAATCTTATTGGATGTGGACCATGCTGAGTTGCTCCTTTAGTTCAGTCAGGTTTGCGCACACCCCCCTCCCAGCCCTCTTTGCAGAAGCAGCAAAGATTCCTCCCACTTTTGAGAGAAGCACCCCCCAAAAGTCGACACCTCTCTTCCGCTCCCAGCCAATACCGAAAGGGAAGACATGATGGCTCCTTTGAGTGTGTGTGCTCTGCCTATAATAAACCAAGTCAATCAAGGCTCTGGCAAGGCTGATGGAATAATAATCACTATTATTAGGGATGTGCTGAACTTGCCATTGTGTAAAGCTAGTTCACAGTTTGTCTGAGAGCCAAACTATGCTGAGTCTACTGTTGCTTCCTGTTGCTTGCCCTGTATTAGCATTATTTTTGGACTGGCCCCATTATATTCAATAATCCTCTCTGCAGTCAGCATGGCCACGCTATTGTCACTGGTTAATATTAGCCACTAGTGCTTCTGTCTGGGTGGTCAGGCTACAATTATTCCAAGGACTAAGCTGATGTGCTTTAAAAGAGGTGGGGGGTGGGGGAGAGAGAGAGATCATATAATTTTAGTAAGGCACGGTGGTATCTTGTTTTTAACTGCATTATTTTCTCTGGAGAAAAAGCCTTTATCTGCTGGCCAGGGGGCAGGGCTGAGCTTAAAAAAAAAAGAAAAGAAAACTGATAACCCCATATCTGTTTGCAAGACTGTCTTCTCCCAAGCAGGCCAGGCTGGCAGTGGCTAGTTTAAGCCTCAGCACCAAGATTATTTGCTGTTCTCAGCATCTAGCCTCACTACCTGTTTAAAGCATAGCTTTGATTATTAAATGCACCAGTTACGACAGGGTGACAAGGTTAATAGGCAGAATACCTACCAGCCAGCCAAGCAAAAACTCAGAGTTGCACCCAGTGAGCCTCCAACAGAGAGAAAGAGAGAGACGAAACAGTCGTGGTGGTGGTGTTCTCCACCAGAAGACCATGCAGAATATTGGGGTATTTACTTGAGCTCATTTATCCATTTCACGACATGTTGGACCATTTGCACTGCATGATTCAATTTCTCCAGTGTATCTTACTTTAGCTTTCATTTGGCACCTTCTCAATCCACCCACTTCATTTCCCACTCAATCTCATGCTACAGTAAAGCAGTTAACTCCCAAGTCTAAGTCTTCTAACCTCAGCATGATGAATATAACACCCCGATTGGAACATCACACACCTTTTAAAAGGTTTGCTGCTTTCTTCCTAACAGCAGAGGCTGCTCATCCAAGAGCAAGAGCTGATAGAATTTCAGCCTGATCAGGAGTGTCCCAAAGAATTTACTTACTAGTATGCATTAAGACATAACCTTCACTGATTTTTTAAGAAGGTACCCAAGGGGAAATCAAGAAACAATCTTA